TGACCACCAGGGAGGACGGGACAGAGGCCTTTAGGTGGCCACACGGGAATGCCCCCCCCCCCACCCGGTCTCTTTTGGGAGGGGAGGCAGGTGAAGATAAACAACTGCCCCCCCCTTTCCTTTCCAAGTGGCTCCTTCCAGTCTGGGCTCCTGCTTCTAAATCAGTCCCCCACCACCTCCCAAGGATTCATCCCAAGCACCTGTGTGATGTATTTAGGGAAGGGAAGAGGCGGGAGAGAAAACTTTCAGTTCCAAGGGGGGGGGGCGTCTGTTCCTTTTTTGCCCCCCCCTCCCAGCTCTCAGGATCCTGTTGAAAAAGAAATGAACTCCTGGGTGCAGGAATTGTGCCAAATCCATCTATCAACCCCCCAACAGGCAGTTGGGCATTTGCTAATTAAGCTCCCCCACCCCCTCCCCACGCATTGGTGGCATTGATGGATAGGGGATTTGAGTTCCTGAATTCCACTCCCCTCCTCAGGGCAGCCTGAACGTTTCCCCCACCACCACCAAATAACGTGGAAACCACAGCAAATAAAAATCATGCTCTCTCCGGAGGAGGCACGATGGGAGTTGAAATCTGGGGCGTTTTTTGAGGATGCCCGATTGGCAAAGCTGGTGTGGATCGTAAAATCAGAGAGCTACACAACTCTCAACAGATGCACACATCAGGGAGGGAGGGAGGGATTCCCACCTTCTACCAAAGAAATAATTCATGGTCTGTCTTATTTTGGACATCAGGAGGAAGTTCCTTAGTCGGATGGAAAAAAAACTTTTTTTTCACACAACTCCAGTTATTTTTGGCCATTTGTGATTTCACCATGGCTGCGTTGTAGGCCTTGCCACCCATCTCCACAACAAAGCTGAACCCAAAAAAAAAACAGGAACTCGAAAGCAGCAAAATAGCTTCAGGGGGCTGGGAGACCCCCACAACCCACCGGCCTTCTGCCACAGCCCTGGGAGGCCAGGCAATTCTTCCCTCCTTAATAACAACTTCAAAAGTAGGGAAATTTGGGGGGGGGGAGAGAAGTTGCAATAGAACCCTCCCTGAAATTTGGGGGTTGCAAAGAGGAAAGACCTCGCTGGGGGGGGGGGATTCTCAAGCCACCCTGTTTCCAGCTGCCTCTTTCCAAAGTTAAACTTTTGGAAGCCAAAAAAACATTAAGTTTTTCACCCAGTTCTTCCCTCTCCAGGATCTCTGGCTATTTTAGAAGGGTTTTAAAGGTTAGAGAAGTGTTGGGGGTTTCGTTTTAAGGCCTTCCCCCCCCCTTCCCCTCCATTCTGCACAGGCAAATCCAGCAAGCCTCCCTTGTCAGAGGCAGTCTACCTGAAAAGGACCAGGGAAAGCACCTGGGTTTTTTTTTTGTGGGGGTGGAGGGAGAGGGATAATAAACCCCCTTTGGAAGGCTGGAAGAGAGGAAGAGAAGACCCTCCCTCCTCATTAAAATAGCAGCGCTGACATTTCCCAATCTTGGGAGCATCTCCCCCTCCCTTAATATCACATTACAGATCCTCAAAAGGAGCCGCAAAGACTAACACACACCTTAACCGCGTGCGCGCACACACACCCCGCAGAGGGCCCTTGGAGGAGGCAGCCCGGGTGTGTGTTGTGTGTGTGTGTGTGTGAATCCCTGCCTCGTGCTCACCAGCCCAGCAAAAAACCCCTCTTAAAGTCCTTCCTCTCCCGGGTGGTCCAGAGCCAGGCGCCTTCAAAGGCCAGGCGAAAGAATGGGCCATTGATGCGCGGCCAAAGGAGGGGCTCCGCCAACCGCCCCCCCCCACTGCACCGCCAGAGCCTCGCGGAATGTCAGGATGAGGCCCTGCTCCTTCAACCCCCCCCCCGCCCCGCCCCGCCAAGCCCACCCTTCTTTTTAGCTACTTTTCTTTTCTTTTGGCTTCTTCTAGCAAGACCCCGATAAAGAAAGATAAGGGGGGAGGGAGGGGGGCGCCAGGTGAAAGTCCGGTGGAAATTTTCGGGGTGGGGGGGCAGGATGTGGGCATCAGAATGGTGGCGGGGGGGGTGGGAGGCTGAAAAGCACAGGATGGGCAGAATATTCCGCTCTGGAAAAACTTTTTAAAACTTTTAAAAACTTGTTTTAATCTTGTTTCAAAACCGCTCTCGGGGCAAAGAGGGGGGAGAATGAAGCGGAGCAGGGCAGAGCCCAGATTAAGGCGATGCCTCTGAGCATCTACAGAGCGCTGCCCTGGTCCTTAACGCTTTGGGCGGAGGGCAAAGGCGGCCGGGAAGGAGCGGCGCGGGTCTTTCTCACCTGTTCTTAGGATCGCCTGGCGCTTCCCCTGTTCTTAGGATCGCCTGGTCATCCGTCTGGAGTGGCGAGAGAAGTGGGGGGGCGGCTTAGAGAGAAGAGGGTCCGCCGGGGTTCAGACGACCCAGGGCGGCTTGTCTCTGGGTTTGCCCGCCGCCGGACTCGGGGCTTCGCTCAGGCTCGCCCAGATTGGGGAGGGGGCTTGAGGGGGGGCAGCTGAAGAGGCCGGGCGGGGGAGGGCAGAGGTGGGTCTCCCCAAAGACGTCCCGGGCGGAGAAGGGGGCAAGGGACGGAGCTCCTCCAGCTGGGCTTTGTAGTCCCAGCGGCGCAGAGAGAGAGAGAAGCGGGGGAGGGAAGGAGGGAGGCGCCCCCTCCCCGCCCGAGCCCCCTACCTGCCATCTCAGGTGCCCGGAGGGGAGAAGGTCCTTGCCGCCGGAGCCCGAAGTTCTCCAGCGCTTCCTTCCCGGCGGCCTCGGCCTCGCACCCCCCGCCTCCTTTCAGGCCTCTCGACGCCCCCCCCCCTCCCCGAGGCTCCTCCTCCTTTGGCTGCTCCTGTCCCGCCCATCAGGCACCGGGGGGGGGGAGAGAGAGAGAGAGAGAGAGAGAGAGACAGAGAGAGAGGAGACCCTCCCTCCTCCTCCACGTGGACCTGTGTCCTCCCCCCCCCGCGCGTTCCCCGAGAGGAGCCAAAGTGGGGAGGGGGCTTCTGCCTTGCGCGATCCGCAGAGTTCTGGGCCGGCTGCCGTTTCCCATCCAGAGCAGGCGAAGGGACAGCGGAGCCCCCGGGAAGGAGCCTGCGAGCCCCTTCCAGGGCTGGGGAGAAGCCGAACACCCAGCGGCTGGAGGAGGGAGGGTGTCTGCCGGATTGAGGGCAGCGGCTGCCCCCACCCCCCAGCTGAGGCTCCTGGGCGAAGGGGCCCCCATTGGCCCTCTGGGGAAAGCGGCTGCAGCTACAGGAGGGGCCCCAAAGGTGGGCTGGGCGGAAAAGCTTCTCTCCTGCTCAGCGTCCTGGTCAGGGAGCCTCCTGGGGCAGGAGCAGTCTACCTGGAAAGATGATAGAATGCTATGGCAAGAAGGTTGGGTGGTCTTCAGGCGGTTCTGGACCCTAAATGCTGGCTACCCCCCCCCCCAAGGAAGGCCACCTAAAGCTTTGCCTGTTCCCTGCACTCTCCCCAGGAGGAAAACAGGGCGGGAAGGAATAGGGGTGGGGGCTCGTCAGCCAAGGAAGCCAGGTAGAAGGAGCCCCCACCCCTCCATTCAGGCTTTTGGGGGGGGCAGAGGGGGGGAGTCAGGAGCTGGGCCACTCCGCCTTCTGCAAGTTCCCGGAATGCAGCCCAGCCCTCAAAAGCAGCAGAAAAATTGGGGAACCCCCCCCCCCTTCTCAAAATTTCAGCCCTGTTTCCCCTCTGGATTGCAGGCCCCAAAGTGCAAAAGGACAAGGAAAAATTTGACACCCCAGGGAGACCTGAAACCAGCTTCCTCTTGGGGGGGGGGGAAGGCNTTTTTGAGCAGAGAGCCACTTGGAGGAGAGCAGGTGGGTGCGTGGGTGTCAGGATTGCGCAAGGGGGCCCAGACAGATGCCCCCCCCCCCACCAGGGAGGGTTGCAACAGGGCCTCCCACTCACTCTTGGCCCGCATGAGTCCGTGGGGCTCCCTGGAAATCAGTTATGAAAGACCAACGTGGCCCAGAATCGTCACCTCCTTGAGAAACAAGTGGCCACTTATGACAATCACATCCCACCCCCCAACTATCCAGGAGGGCCCCCACCCCTCTGCAAAGCCAGGAGATGGGGGGGGGGGAAAACCGGGTCAGAGGAAGAGGGCAGCAGGTGAGGGCTTTGGCCCCCTGCCCACCGCCTCCCCCCATGGCTTTGGAGGCCTGGGGCAGCCCCTCTCCCAAAGGCTGGCGGGGGGGCACAAGCAGGCGATGCCAGGCGAGGCCTCCGTGGGCGAAGAAGAGCCGCCTGCTGATCCGTCTGCACACCCCCGACTCCACCGCCACAGAAGCCAGCTCCTGGGCATGGGCAGAGCGCCGTGCTTACCGCAGGTGCCCCCCCTATCCATAGGACTAAGAGCAATCCCCCCCCCCAAATAAAGGAAGCGAATTAAAGCCGCATGGATTGAAGAGGGTTTATTACCAGCTGCAGGTGAAAAGTGCTCTGTCCCACTGAGGGTTAGGGGGAGCCCTGAGGAAGGGGCTGCAAATGCCCCCACCCACCCCCTGCAGCGGCTGCCGCTCTCAGCTCAGGCCTGGGGCCTGTTTGGAGCCTCGGAAGAGAAGAGCCACACCTGGTCCAGGCACTCCTGAGTCAGCGCTGACCAACGGAGCCACCTTTGTGGGGAGGGGGGGGAAATGGACTGTTTTTGGGAGCCGTCACCAAGGTGGGGGAGGCCTGTCAGGCCGGGACGTCCTGTTCCCCGGAAAGACTTCCCCGTACAGGGAGGTAGACTGCCTTGGAACATGGAGGTTCACTTTCACAGAGATGGGAGGAATCTTCCGGGGGAGGGGAGGTCAAAGGGCCCCTCCCCAGCCGGCTCTCTCTCTCCTTTGCAGAGTTTCAAGCGAGGGGGGGGCAGCTCCTGAGTCAGGTGGGGGAAGGACCCCCCTCCCCAGAGCTTCCTCTGTGTCACTCCTTGGGCATCTGGGGGGGGTCAGCCCTTATCGGCAGGAGGGAGGGAGGGAGGGAGGGAGGGGGCTGACTGGCCAGGGGATCCAGATCTAACTGGTAAGCTGACCTTCAGTGGCCAGGAAAGCTTCCTGCAGCCCCTCCCCCAAATACAGCCACGCAGGGCTCCGGGAAAGGGCGGGGAAGCGGGTGCGACACCTTCCCAGAACCTCCGGAGGGGGGGCAGGTGACTCAGCCCAGGTGACGCTCCAGGAAGCTGCCCACCGAGGGAGGGGTGGCATCTGCAGAGCAGTCAGCAAGGAGGGAGATCCTCAGCCTTCTCAGCCTTCGTGCTCCTCGGTGAGGACTAGTCCCTTGGAACGAAGCCTGGAGGTCTCCTCCTGGGTGCGTGAGCCGTGCCAGCCCTGCGGGGACCCTGCCTTTGGCTCAGAAGAGCTCCTCCGCGTTTCTCACCCGCGTCTCCTGGAGCTCCCGCAGCCGGCGCTGCACCTCCTGCAGATCCCTCTCGCCGTGGCGGTGATTGTCCCGGCTGCGGACATTCACGGTGCGGTGGGTCATTTCCTGCCGGCCGACCACTACAGGGGAGAAACCACCAATCACCTCCAGAAGGAGCCTGGCCACCCAGCAGCTCCCGGAAGCACAAACCCCTTGGCCCTGGGCTCCAATCGCCCTTCCGTCTGCCTGCCTGCTCACAAAACGCTGAGGGCCAGAAACCTGACGAGTCCAGTTCTGTATTTTCCCCAGCTACATCCCAAAATCCCCCTGCGGAGCCGAGCAGAAGCGGTTTGAGTGACCGCAAGAAGGGAAATCTCCTGCAACCTCCGGGCGGTTGCGTGGTGGATCCTTCGGCCCAGCAACATGGGACACCTGGTCCTCTCTTGAGGTTCTGGTGGCCCACCTTCTCCTCGGACCCCCAATCCCCCTGCCCGCCTCCCAGGCCCCTTCACCCCGGGCAATGCCAACTCACCGAACTGGAAGTTGTACTGGGCCAACTGGGCTCTCCGGATTTTGCGGTTGAGGGTCACCCCCGAATCGGCATCCAGGTCTGCCTGGAATCCGGCTTGGTGGAAGAGCCGGTGGACCTGCCCGGAGGAGAGTCCAGCAAGGCCAGTTCAGCCACTGCCCTCCCCCCCCCCGGCTGCACTGGGAGTCAGGGAGGGGGGAGGCTGTGGGGACGCCCGCTCCCCAAATTATAGGGGGTTTTCTCAGCATTTGCAATGGATTTGGTCGCTTGCCAAACGGGGGGTGCAATTTCCCCACCCCCTCCGTCCACCCTAGTTGATTCTGAAACCCCCATTTCAGCCTTTCTCCCCCCCCAATTCCCTCCCCCCGGGCCGGGCCATTGGGGAGGGGGCTCGGCTCTCACCTCTCCAGCGTACTCCTCTGCATCTGGGCCCACCGGAATCACCATGATTTGGGAGGGGGAGAGCCAGAAGGGCCTGGGGGAGGGGAGCAGAGCAGACAGCTCAGACACCCCCTACAGCTAAGCCCACCCTGGAGACCCCCAACCCCCCCACCACTCCCCCTGGGCCGCTCTCCCTCCTAACTGGAAGCAGGGTTCAATTCCTGCCCCCTTGGGGGAAACCCCCTTTTGTGGCTCTTGAGCCCCCCCGTCTCCCCCCCCCCACACACACTCAGTGGCCCCCGACTCACTCACCACTTGCCCCCGTAATTCTCGGCCAAGACGGCCATCATCCTCTCCACGGAGCCGAGCACTGCCCGGTGAATCATGACCGGCCTCTCGGGGGTCCCACCGTCCTTACTGCAGGGGAGACAGAGGGCGGGGCTGGGACTCTCGTGCCACCCCCCGGGGGGGCCTCTGCCCACCACCTTTTGGGGGTGCCCAGCCAGCCCTACAGAGACTAAAGAGGGGTACACTGTTCTGCAGGCCCTCGTCTTTTAATCAGAGAGAAAAAAAAGGGGGGGTCTCTCACCGTGCAGGCTTGAAGGGAATCCCCCCCCCACTGCTTTGAAGCAGCCCTTTGCCTTCACAAGGACTAGGAAGTTGGAAAACGCCAAAGACCTGTTTCTATTCAAGAGCAGCTAGAGGGGAGATGGGCCTGCAGAGGGCTGGCATTGAGCCCAATTCTGGCCTTCTCTGCTGCCCCCCCCCCCGCTTTTTGGGCTGAGGGGAGGGGGGGGGGCTTGGACAGAACTTTATTCTGCATCGGAGGGCCGAGAAACGCTCTGCAATTCAGCCGAATGTTTTTTAAAATGACCAACTGGAAGAGCGTCCATCTTTGGGGGGGCTTCTGGCTGTGGCACCGGAGCCCGGCTGATGCCAGCCACCCCCTTCACCCTCCGTCTCTGCCTCCCACCCGCCCCTCTGCTTGGCGGTTCCTCTTCCCCTTGCAAGGGGGGTGGAAGAAACAGAAGGGCCTCAGCCGGGGGAAGGGAAAAGGGGAACTGGGGGCTCAGCCTCCCCCCTCTGACGGAAGCGCCCCTCCCACCTGCGTCCGTGAGTCCCCGCAGGCGTCACGCAGGGCTTCTGCGGTCACGGCTGAGCTGACACGCTTAGATCATGCTTGTTGTTGTTGTTTTTTTTAAAGAAAAGGAGAAGGACCCACAGATGGGACCAAAAAGGCCGTTTTGGGGATTCACGTCATGCAACCTGATTTTTCTTCTTGGGGGGAGGGGGGGGGCAGCCCAAAAAATATGGGCGTAAGAAAAAAAAGAGGATTTGGGGGCGAAGGAAGGGGTGGTTTGGGGAGGGGGCTTGCTCTGCAGAGAAGAGCACCAGGAGGGCCCCCCAAATCTTCTGCCAAGCGACCGGGGGTGGGTGGGAGGGGTTCCCCAGGTTCTTCCCCAGGGAGGGAGGGAGGGAAGGTCCCTCACCCCTTGTAGGAGAGGTCGAAGCGAAGGGGCATCTGGAAGTCCAGCTGAATGGTGGCACACTGGTGGTATCGCCCCAGAGCGTCCTGGATCTGAATGTCCACCTGCGAGAGACGGACGGAGGGTCAGCAGGGCAGAGACGGGGCCCACCGTCCGCAGAGAAGCTCCACCGGTGGGATCTGGAGGGGGGGGGGGAGGAGATCCAGGGAAAGGATCCGGCCCTTCTGGGCCTGAACTCTGCTGCTGCTAAGCCGGAGGAGACGGGAGGTGGCATCCGGGCATCGGACGGGCAGCCCGGCCCTAAAGGAACATTTTTCTCTGACGGCTTCTGAGATCATAAAAGGCTGAACTGGGCGGAGGAGGGGAGCCGCCCTGCGTGTCCAGGAGGATCTGAGGATCTGCACCGCTCGGAAGTCCGGCTGTGCCACTCACCCCCCTCCCTCAGGAGGCTCCGCGTTTCGAACTCGGCTCCTGAACCGCTGCCCTCTGGGGCAGGGAACTGACTGGGCCCCCAAAAGCTTCGCCGTACAATTCAGAGGTAAAAAGTGCGATTCATGGGAGCTAGAAACTTGCCCCCCCATTCAGCACACGGCTCTATATAGCCGCCCACTTATGTGGCAAGAGGCAATCCCCCCTCCCCCCCCCATGTGCCAGGCATGGGGTTGGCATCAAAGGGCCAGCAGCCCCGAGGAGGAGGAGGATGGGACTCCTGGCCCGGAAGAGACCCACTCAGCAGACAGGAATGCTGAGGTCAGGAGCGGAGGAAGGAGGATGGCACAGGTGCCTTCCCCTTCGGCCCCTGGCTGCCCTTCCGGTTGGCAGAGGGAAGACTCAAGAGATTTACGATCCTCAGATCAGAATCACCCCATAAACCGCGCCGTGGGGGGGGGAGGGGGCAGAGCCTGCCTGGGGGGGCGGCCACGCCCAAAACATGAACAGTTCAGTGGTGACTCACGGATGAAGTGGCTTCTCTCTCGGAGTCCCGCCTGGCCCCCTTCAGAAGCACCTGGGGCTGTGGGGGGAGGAGGAGGAGGAGGCCCCCTCCCACCCGTCACCCCCCCCCCCAAAAAAGCCGGAGGGGCGGGCGTTGTGGCTGCCTTCTTTGGAGAGGAGAGCCCTCACACTCCGTGCTTTTCGGTCAAAATATCTCCCCTCCGCCAGGGGATGGGCTAGATGACCCCCAGGAACCCCCTCCATCTTCCGATTCTGCCTTCCGGCAGGGCTGCAGCTAACCTTGGGCCCGTAGAAGGCGCCGTCCCCGGGGTTCAACTCCCACGGCTCCCCAAACTCCTGCAGGCTCTGTTCCAGCAGCTGGGAGGGAAAAGGGGGAGCCGTCAGGAGCCGTGTTTGAAAGCCCCCCCCGGCAGGGAGGGAGGCTGTCCTGACCCCCACACGAAAAGCCCGTCTCTGGCATGGGAAAATCCCCCCCCCAAAATCCTCACTCAAGACAGGGAAACAGAGGCGCCCCAAGCCCCCCCACCCCCTCCGCCCAGCACCCGGGCTCTCTGCGCTGGCAGCTCGCCCTCAATGGGAGGACCCCCTGCCAGAGGGGGGAGGGCGAGGCTGCTGGTGCCCCACTCTTACCTGCTCGGCCTGGTCCCAGAGAGGGGGGTCCCCGAGGAAGTTCTTGGGGCGGGTGGAGAGGAAGAAACGGAAAGTGAATCCGAAGACGGAGTAAACGGCCTGCAGGAAATCCAGGCAGCCTCTGATCTCGTCCCCCAGCTGAATTGGGAAGCGGAGAGGGAGGGGGGGGTCCTCAGTTGCTTGCCCTGGCAGCCCCCTCCCCAGCGGGCACCAGGCGTGCCAGCCCATGCGGGGTAAAGCTCTCGGTTCAGCCACGCTGGCATCCCCACCTGATCCATGGAGCAGAAGATGTGGGCGTCGTCCTGTTGGAAGCGCCGGACCCGCGTCAGCCCCGTCAGGGCCCCCGAGGCCTCGTTGCGGTGGAGCACCCCGAAGTCGGCCAGCCGCAGGGGGAGCTCCCGCCAGGATCGGGGCCGGTGGGCGAACATGAGGCTGTCAGACAGGAGCGAAGGGCTCTCAGCCCCCAGAAGGAAGCCTTCTTGGCCGCCCCCACAAAATCCAGAAGAGGGTTTGCCTCTGGATCTTGAACCCAATACCCTCCCCCCCCCCGTTCTCACCAGTGGCCGGGACAGTTCATGGGCTTGAGTGCGAAGGTCTGCTCCTCCACAGGGAAGCTGAACATGTGCTCCCCGTAATGCTCCCAGTGGCCGGAGATCTCCCAGAGTTTGGCATTGAAGATGTTGGGGGTGACGACTTCGGAGTAGCCGCGCTTAAGGTACTCGCTCTGGCAGGAAAGGGGCCCGTTTGAGCAAGAAGACCCCCCCTCCCTCCGCTTCTCCCCACACCCGCCTTCCGGGCCTCCTGCGCATGGATGTGAAAACCGTCCCAGCTCCGGGAATATCCTCTCGCCAAAACAGCTTTCTAGGTCTCTGCTTCTCCTGCCCTGGAAGAACGGCCCTCCCCAAAAGTTTAACAAGCCCCCCCTCCCCCAAATACTCGGATGGGGGAGGGTCTGGGATGGACCCTCCTTCCCCCCCCCCCCCGAAGCCCAGCTGAAGGAGAGCCTCCCTTTGCTGCCCCTTTCTAAGCCCCTCAACTCCTCAACCCTCTTTAATAATATTTCAATATTTCGGCTCATTTGAATCTTATTATTTTTCAGTGATTTGTAGCCCCCCCTCCCTCCCCCAAGAGCCCCCCCTTGCTAGAGATGGCTGGCGAGAAGCTTAATAATTGATTGATCTGGCTCCCCTCCTCTCTCTCCAGCCCACCAGGCTTCCCCAACCAGCCCCCTTTCGCCCCCTTTTTGGCAGTTATTCTACCACCCACCGCAGTGGCAGATTCTGTTCCACGCAACACAACGACACACACAGACACACACACACCTTGATGAAGCCCATGAGGGTTGTGTAGATGTGGGTCCCTTTGGGGAGGAAGAAACAGCTGCCAGGACTCAGCGGGTGGAAGAAGAAAAGTTCTTGCTCCTGCGGAGGAATCAGAGACAGAGGATTTCCAAAATTCCCCTCGGAGATGGCAAGCCGGCACAGACCCCTCCCCTAATCAGGTTGCACCCCCTCCTCTCCATTTCGCCCTAGATTCAATCCCACAAGCACCCAGAGGGGGGAAAAGCCACTTGCTTTGGGGAGGAAAGTTTTTTTAAAAAAAAACCCTCCCTTTTTGTTTGAAGATGCCACCCCAAGTTTCTAGTCCAGGAGGAGGCCAGAAGAGACATTCTCTCAAGATGTCAGCCGCATGGGAATTGCGATTCTTGGGCAAAACCACCCAGGATGCTCCAAGAGGCACGGAGGTTTGCAAAGGGGCCCCTCGGGGCACCACCAGGGTTTCTCCGTGGCCCAGGGAGGCCGCAATGGGCATGGGGCGAGGGAGCACCCACCTTTCCAATGCGCCGGTGGTCCCGCCGGGCGGCCTCCTCCTGGGCACGCTCCCAGGCCGCCAACTGCTGGGCGCTGGGGAAAGCGATGCCATAAATGCGCTGGAGGGACTCTCCGGAGGGATCCCCTTGCCAGGAGGTGGCGGAGTTCTGCCAAGGAAGAAGAGGGTGGGTGGGCACCTTTGAGGGGGGCTCCTGGGGGGCTGTGCCAGTTCGGCTAGGGGCCTCCCTGCCCCTCTGGCTTCATCGAGACCCAGATTTACCCACAGGGCACAGACACTCCCCCCCCCCAAGTCCCCCGTTCTCTAGGAAGGATGGGCAAGGGCGCAGCCTCAATGGGAGAGACTACAAATCCCATCCTTCTGCTTCAGGACAGGGAGACAAGAAGCCATGGAGTTTGCAGAGGGCAAGGGGGGGGGAAACTCTGGCCTCTTTACAACCCCCGGGGGTTGCTCTTCCATAATCCAGAGGTCTCTAAACTTATAATACTGCTGGACTTCAACTCCCAGAATTCCCCAGCCAGCCCCGTATAACTGGTTGAGGAATTCTGGGAGTTGAAGTCCAGCAGTATTATAAGTTTAGAGACCTCTGGATTATGGAAGAGCAACCCCCGGGGGTTGTAAAGAGGCCAGAGTTGCCCCCCCCCCTTGCCCTCTGCAAACTCCATGGCTTCTTGTCTCCCTGTCCTGAAGCAGAAGGCGGGGGTTTGGCGTGTCTCCCATTGAGGCGGCGCCCTT